CGGGGATAAACCGACTGTGCCTGAAATACGCAAGCCGAACGACGACGATGATAAATCGAACGATAGGAGAGATCCTGGTAGCGGCGGTAGTAGTGGTAATATAACGCCAACACCCGAACACGATCAGTACGAACAGAATAATCGCAGCTGCTCATCAGAGTATATGTCGACCGATTTGCCGGGTGGTGTAGGTCATTGGCGGGATCAGAGTACTTATTTGGCATTAGAAGCCGAACAGGAAAAGCCTCAGGTAAAATTAGGAGCCGTTGATGTTGTTGAACAATCAGCACCCATCAAAGAGGAAGGTGTAATTGTACTAACCGAAACTAAAACTATTGACCCCACAAGTTCAATCAACACAGTCCCTGACCCTGAAACAAGCCCCAGCAGTCCCAGTCCCCACATAGCTACTGCAAACGCACTAATCCAATTGGCAAGCGCCACAACTCATACGCTGTCCGCTAAAGCGAATGCGGCAGCCGCAGCGGCACAGGCAACAGCATTGGTGGCAACCAGTGCTCTACTGCCAGTAGCCAAGGCCGTAATCAATAAGCTTACGACAACAACAACACCAGAGAAGACAACACCAGTAGCACCAGCAGCAGCAGCAGCAACACAACCTCAGCAGGAGGTGCCAGAGCAAGCAGCACTGATAGCAGCTGCTGTTGAGGCGCCTGCAGAGGTTGCAACCACATCGAGCAGCAAGGATTCGGTTGATCCGAATGTCCTTAAGCGTACCACAACGACAACCACCACAGTAACGACAACAACCACAACTGTTGAAACACCATCGACAACGAGCAGTGGCAGCAGCAGCACGACAACAACCACAACAACGAACAACAACACCAACAACGATCAACAGCAACAAAGGCAGAAGGTGAACATCACATTGAGCCTTCGTTTATTCATAATTCTAATATTTGCAGCTTTTCTATGTGGTTTTGGTATTTGTTCATGGCTTTTAAATGGAAATAGCTGTTGTTGCTGTTGTGGCAGCAACCAGAACCACACATGTACCCATCCACACTGAGCTGGCTGTTGGTTCTGGTTTACTGCCACTTCTATGCAAAAAAAAATGCAATTTCCAACAACAAAATTACTAACGTAAAATATATAAATAAAATGTTTTTCCTTTTTATTTCTTTAAGTTGTTTTTCCCCTTCATTTTTATTATTTCTCTGTTTTTGTATTTTATGTGTTGTGCATCCAAAAGCCTTATTTTTTGAGTTTATATACCATAGAACTAAATAGTAATTGTAGTAATTAATTAAAAACAGGCACCAATAACCCGTAGTGTAAAAAATTGAAATGCATTCGTTAAGTTTCCTTTTACTAATTTGATATTAACCTATTGTAAAACGCCCAGTAATCAGTGACTACTAATTGTAGTAATTGTTAAATAAAATCTATATTAACCAACATGCACGTTTTAATATTGAGCTGATGAGATCTCTCTGACCTCTGAGCGTATATACCCGTATGTAGTTTTCTTCGCAGATATTAAATCAACACACATGAACACACAGCCAAACACACACGATCTCATGATCTTGCACCGAGCACGCACCCTCTTCTCACTCCTCACTCAGCACTCGACTCCCCACTCACAGTGGCACACAAAAGTGCGTGCACGCACAATACAGTATTTCCAATGCAGAATATATACATATATACTACGAGTTCATTGCCTTGCTTATCGCCCTGCAGCCTGTCCCACGTTCAACATATCAAGAATTTGCAATGCAAGCGTTCCGTTTATGCTATTAATATACCCATCTACCGATCCCATACGATCCATGCGGTGTGGTGCAGAACCTAGCAGCCCCCAGCTCCGTTTTAGTTTGCTCAAAAATAGACTTTCCTTTCCCGTTTATTTTACAAGTTTTAGTCTCTGCCGTGTATCGAGTGTGCGATGAACGGCACGGCGAAATTCGGGAAATACGCATAGTTCAAGAATTCCCCAAAAAACTAATGTGCAAAAGTGTGTGTAGTTCATTCAGAATTTAATAGGAAAAAATCAGAAAAATAGAAAATACAATAAATCAAAGCGTGCCAAGGAGTATAAATTTATGCTTAAGTTTTGTTCTGAAAATATCTAGAAACCTTTAATATTTAATGACAAAAAAGCGAATGTAAGTTTAATTGCCATTTTTGCATATCCTTATATTTTTCAACATTAATGAAAGTTATCAGAAATAAGGCTTTTTTATGGTACTTGTGTCTATACGCCTTTTCGCTCATTAAATACTATGCCGCCTAGGGATTCATATACTATATATTTTACATAAAACTAAGTTAGTTATTTATGCCAAATGCATGTGTTACGAAGTCTAAGAGCCTAAATAGAGTTACTATCTTTACAAGCATTTATTACGAGCATTTCCCCCAAATCCAAAACCATTTTTCTGTATGGCTGTATGCATTGCATCCATTTTGAATTTTACTTTAATATATATGGCTGTAAATATGTTGTATGTTGTATAGAAGCCGGCAACAAATATATTTACAGAAAAAGAAAAATATCATTTCTTCGCTAAAACAAATATGTTCAAAATTATTGCCATGTTTATTAATAAAATAACACACACTCTCTACCCCGCACAACCCAACCAAATTTGCGACACAATTTCGAATATTATAGGAGACATTTGACCAAGATCTTGATGAGCTGCTACAATCGCTGTCAAGCGTCGAGGATGGCATCGCAAACATGAACCAGAGCAGCCTGGAGGGCATGCTACAGGGACTAAAGGTAATATAATGTGATCTCAAATGTCGAGACAACTAACAAAACACTTTTTTGAATGCTTGACGACGACAAGGCATGTTCGACAATAACAATCGTAGCTAGAGTTTTTCCTAAAGTACTCACACAACCTTTACCTGTACATAACTTTTTGTAAACGATTGTTGGATGCTGTCGTGTGTCACATCACGATGATTTTTAATAACACATTTGCGCATCATTCCATACAGAAAATCGTACAATTTTGTTTAGAACAGAAGGAAATGTGTTTGTCAGAGGAATACTTTTAGTGTTGTCCAGTGTTTTATTTATATATATTCTTTTGTAGAGGTCGAACCCCTTTTTTATTGTCCTGTAGGATTATACACTGTTTCAAGATTATTGTCAACTATATTTCCAACAAAAGAAGTGAATCTGTAATAACAATTCTCAATCCCTTGATGAATAGCTAATCCAAACGAATCTGGAAGTACACGAAAGGGACGCCCGCCAGCTGAAGGAGCAGGCTAAGACTTTGCCCACGGATCCGGGAACTGAACGCATACTAAACGAAACTGTAGATCGGATTGATTTGCTACTGCGTCGCACCCAACAAGGCATCACCATGATTGCTGTAAGTATTGATAAATTGATTTAATTTTAATTGATTGACTAATCGAATGTCTTTAAGAATGCTATGCATGGGCAGAAGAAGCGGCAGCAGGACATTGACCAGTACCAGCAGCATTTGCTGGAGCTAGAGCGATGGATCAACGAGGTATCCGCCGAGCTGGAGTCCTTTGAGACCACACCGGACAGCAGCACCGATGAGCAGGTGCTCAAGTCGCAGGTGGAACGCAGCCAGCAATTGTTGCGCACTCTCAAGGATCGCCAGCAGACCATGGACGATTTGCTGGAACAGACGCGACAACTTCAATCGCAGCCCGATGTCGCCCCTCTGGCCAATACACTGATGGAGCAACTGCAGAGTATTTTAATCATACTCCGCGAACAGATCACAGTAGCCACCACACGGATTTTCACCATCGAGAAGCGAATTGTGGATTTGCGAAAGGCCAAGAGCGAAGAGGCTCAGCGACAGCGAGTGCAGGCGGATGCCATGATACAGCCCCCGAGCCAGATTGAGGCACACGAATCGATAGAGTCCAATGAGAACACAATTGATTCGACCTCAATGCCCGAAGAGGAGGTTAAAGCACCCAGTGGTGGAGTATATGTAGAGACGCAAACATCGTTGAGCCTGCAGCAGCAGCAGCAGCCGCCGGCGGCACCCATTCAGGTGGCAACCACCACTGTTGAGGCACAAACCAGCTTCACAGAGGCACCCCCCCTGGTGGTGGTGGAAACCGCTGAGGTGGCACAGCAAACGCAAAAGGAGCGTACACCCACAGAGAACATTGTGGTGACGCAAACGATTCAGGATGGCCAGGCCACCATACAGATTGACACCACACTGAATAAAGATATATCCGACAGCCCCGAAGATGTGCAGATTGAGGCGCGCTACCATCAGCGTCCCCAAGGCGATGTGGATCGTGCCACCGAGCTGATCCTGAAGAATGTACCACAGGCATTTGAGACGACATTTGTGGAGCCAGATGATACCACCACTGAGGTGATTGTCGGGCCCGATGGCACCAAGCATATTGTCCTGAAAAAGGTCACGCGTACGCGCCAGCAGATTGTGCAGCAGCAACAGATCAGCTCAATAGAGACTGTTAGCGACTCGGATGGCAACATTGAGGTGCATTCGACGGGACAGATCAATCTGGAGAATGTGCAGACAACAGACACCAGTGTGGATCCACAGGAGGGAAGCTCTCGCACCGTTGTTACACACCAATCGCGGGGCGCTCTTGTAGATGCCTCACAACCCGAGGCGGTAACCGTTCAGGAGTTTGAAACAGAGCCAACCATTGAGACGTACGAGGAGATTGTGAGTGGTCCGGGTGGAGAAGAACACTTGCTGGGCGTTGGCGTTGGCGGCACCAGCACCATTCGTGCTGTTGTGCAGCAGGTGACCCGCAAGGTGATCCGCAAGACGCGGAAGATAATCAAGCGAGTGGTGATCATCGATGGGAAGGAGCACATTACCGAGGAGGTGATTGAGGAGCCCGAAGAGATTGAGATAACCGAAGAGGAGACGGCGCCGCATGTCAATGTGAATATTGTGCGTACAATCAATGGGAAAGTGGTCACCGAGGAGGAGTTCCAAAGAATGCTGCAAGAACCGGGCGTGATCATTGAAGAAGTTGCTGCTGAATCGCCGCAACAGGTATTTGATATTGAGTCTACCCACGTCACCTCCACCACAGAAACAATAATCACACCACAAGAACAAGAACAAGTACAGATACAGCAAGAATCAGAACAGCCAGAACAACAGACAACACCAACAGAAACAATGATCAAAGAACCAGCACCAGTAGAGTTGCCAGCACCTTCTCAAGTAGATGTTGCAGAAACATTAGATGTTGCCAGTACTACTACTACATCCATCAGTACTGTTAATGTTGCAGCAACAGATGTAGCCAGCCCAGCGGATGTTGCAGAAATCACTACAGAACCTGTGGTGGAAGATATCCACGAAATTTGGCCAATGGAACATCATTTGAAGGCCACCAACATTGACTTTTCACAACACACTGAGGAACTAGCACCAGCAGCAACAATCACTACGGAAATCAGAGAAGAATCCATGCCTGTGGAAACCATTTGGCCCACTAGCCCAGAGACGGGCAACTCTCTAACGCTGGATAACTATGAATTTGAGCCACAATCACCCACAAATAAGATAGAACTTGAGACTGAGACAAAGCCTGAAACAGAACCAGAGACTAAACCAGAAACGGAGACCCAGCCAGAGACCAAGCCAGAGCCCGTCACCACTGGCAGTATTAAAATTACTAAGACCATCACCACAGTGACCGGCCTAAAGGAGCAGTCCCAAGAAACCTCTGTAGAAGTTCTGCCTGAAACGGAGCAAGAAGTAAAGACTCCAAAAGCAAAGACTGATATTGAGAGTTTCCTGGAAGCTGAAAAGGCTTTGGCAGGAGCCCTGAAGGAACATCAGACTGCACCTGCCACCATTCAGGTTGTAGAAGTGCAATCGGAGACAGTTGTACCTGAAACTCTTGAAAACGAACCCACTAAAGTAGAATCACCTGCAGAAGCAACCATAGAAGTCACAGAGATAACGATACGCCAGCCACAACAGCAGCCAGCGGAAGTTGTCAGCGTGGAAGTCACTCTGCAAGAGCCAGCAACAGACACAGAGAAAAAGGAGACGGACCTGCGCGTGGCCACCCAACTGTTTATCTCTGGGGAGGCTGCCGCTTCAACGGGTCCACAAAAGTCCTTCCAGATTACCGCACCATCCGTTGAGGATAATGGCGATGGTGTGCTGAAGGTTGTGATGCAAAAGGGCAACGAGGAAGAATCTGCTACTGCCACGACCACCAACGTGAGCATGACCATCATTGAGACTGTAGCTCCTGCTGCCGACGCCAAGCGGCGTCGAAAGAAAAAGAAGAGAAGAGACACAAAGACGGAGGAAGATCTTCCAGAACAAAAATCAGAAACCGAACCAGAGGCAGCTGTTTCCGAGAAGGAGGAGCCAGAGCCAATCCCTGTGGTGGGCAAAGTGCGCCACGAATCAATCGTGGAGATCAGTGCCGAGAGCGATGTGTCCAGCATGGACATTGACACGCCTCAAGACTCGGTTAAGATTGTCGAAGATGCAGTCGTCTCCTCGCCCTCAGAGTCTCCACGTGCGCCACACGTAGAGCTGGTGATACCCACAGAAATTGTAGAACTTTCGGTGGTGGAGGATGAGGAACAGCAGACGACGCCACGTGCCACAACGCCTGTGGAAGTCGCCGCAAGGATCGAGCAGGACATCAAGTCCGTGCAGACATCGCCGCAGCATCAACCAACATTAGATGAGATTTCAGTGCAGACGAGTCTGGAGTTACAACCCGAGAACCAGGAGATGGAGTCGCAGACGCTGATCATTGAGATTTCCGAGACAGAGGCGCAGACAACGCCACGCGGCGATGAGCGAATTTTAGAGGTATCCACCACCGAAATGCAAACGGAAGTCAGTGGCCAGCCAGCGGAAACGGTTGAGATCTCCAGTCAAACGACTGTGACGACAACCATTGAAAAGGAGCTGCAGACAACGCCCAGGGAATCACCGCGTCAGCGAGAGCCAGGCAGTGATGATGTGGTGCCATCGCTTGTCCAAGATTTGGTTAAGGAGATGACCATCGATCTGCCAGTGCCCACCACAGAGCAGTCAACGTTCACCGAAACCACAACGACCACAGAGACGCATGTACAGACCAACACACCCGAACCCACAGAAGCGTTGGCCGGTGCCGTGAAGCCAGAGACTGTCCATGAGGCAACCTCAACGCTGGAACTGGTGCAAGTGGCCGATGGTGAGGCGCAGACAACGACACCGCGAGATGTGGAACCACAGCAGCAACAACCCATTTCATTGGATGAATCCAACTCCACTTCCATCTCGGAACCATATGAACTGGAGGTAAAGACCACAGTGGCGATACCAGCTGATTCGGATGCTGGCTCCTTGGCTGAACCCACGGTCTACGAGTACACGCAGACCATGGAGCTGCCCAAGCCAGAGAAGCGCTCCAAGAAGGACAAGAAAAATAAGCAAAAGAAGGAGCAGCAGCAGCCAGAGGAGCCACAGATCAGTGTCACTGTGGAAATAGCACCCGAACTGTTGTCCGAATCGGGCATTGTTGTGTCCACCAATCAGCAGATCGAAGAGGTGCCGCATGTGGCACCAGCAGAGATTGAAGCGCCAGTGGACGTGGAGCCAACGAAGCCGCAACCGCAAAGAGTTCAGCTGCAGATCACCACAACAAGGGTCTACGATGAGTATCCCGATCTGCCAGTGCACATTATCGAGCAGAACAAGATGAGCATTGCAGAGCAGAGCAGCCGAACGACACGCAGTGGAGCGGGACCAACGTCTTCGGTGACCATCGAAGAGGTATCCTCGCCCACAGAAGAACTGGTGGTGGTGCCAATCACCCCAGGGCCCGACAATCTCAACGAGCAGCAGAGTAGCATTTGGTTCCAGCCAAAGACAGTCAGTGCCCAGGAGCTCTCTCAGGCGCTGATCATGAGCGAGAGCCTGCAGCATTATCCCGGACAACAAAAACAGAAGGCCAACATCCTTGTGGAGACCATTGGGGATCGCATTAAGCACTTGAAACAGGCGACACCCCAGCAACAGCCGACAACGACAACTCCACTGAGCAATGTCCTCCACTTGGCCACACTTTCGGAGCAGATCAAGGAGCTGCCCACGGAACAGCGTCTGCAAGAGGTCAACGAAGGTCTGAGGGATCTGGATGCGGCGCTGCACAGCGGCGATAAGACAATCATCCAGACGACAGTCATCACGGTCATTGAGAAGGTATCCACGTGGCTGGAGACAATCGAATATCGCGTTTATCTCATCAGACAGAACTCGAACGAGGGACCCTCCGAGGAGAAGCTGGACAACTACAACCAGCTGAACGAGGAGCTGCACACGATCAAGCAGAATGTGAACCAACTGGAGAGGCAGCTGTCAAAGACAGAGGAGCCCGAGCTGCACCAGTGTGTGGACACGCTGAAGGAGCATGTCGAGGCCGTGGAGCAGGTGACGCAACAGAATCAGGCGCAGGACAGCAACGATCTGGACAAGTGGCATAGCTTTGAGACGCTGCTGAATGATGTGTCCAGCGTTTTGGTGCAACTGCAGCAGCGCTACGAGCTGGTGGCCAATCAGGATTATCCGCTATCTGCCAAACTCTCGCACTTGGACGAGCTGGAGCAGGAGCATGAGCAGGCGCAGCAGCAGCTGGGTCACCTATTGCAGAATGCACGCGCCTTCCAGCGCGATTTCCCCGGCAAGAAGATGCCACAAGATGTGCACGATGCCTTCGAGACGAGCAAGAACATTGGCAACAACATCCAAGCCGAACGAGAGCGTCTGCTCCAGCTGCAATCCCTGGCGGAGGAGTACGAACAGACCCTCAAGGAGTTCACCAACATCACGGTGCTCGCCGACAAGCTGGTCGAGTGTCCCATTGTGTCCAGTTCTTTGGAGCAGCTGAACAACGAGGTGCAGAAGCAGCGCAAGTTCTTTGTGAACCTCAGCCACTGCCGCGCCATGCTGGAGTCCCTCGAGGAGAACATTGACACGGAGACGCGTGAGAAGCACTCGGAACTGCACAAGGAGCTGTACAACCGAGCCACTCAGCTGCTGGACAAGGCATCCGAACGTTCCTCGAAGCTCGTGCAGGCCGCCTCCCGCTGGACCGTCTTGGAGAAGGGAATGCGCGATGAGTTGCAGTGGCTGCAGGTGGCCCAGCAGCGTGTGCCCGATCTGTCGGCCGTGACATCGGCAGACTACGATCAGTACACAACGCTCTACCAGTCGCTGAGCAACGACATCTCCCATCATTATGTGAAGATGACTCAGCTCTCGGGCATAGCCAACAAGCTGCAGCAACTGGTGCAGGCGCCCAATCTGGTGGAGGAAACCAACGAGGCGCTGATTGTGCTGCTGAAGCTGCGCGAAGAGGTGGCTCTGTATCTGCACCGCCTGCTGGTCTTCAAGGAGATCTGGGTGCAGTACGAGCAACAGACCGACAAGCTGGAGGCCTTTGTGCGCGAGGCAGAGCAGGAGCTGCGCCACATACAGATACCGGCACAGCCCACCCATCAGCCCATCGAGCATATGCGCCAGTTCTGGGAAATCAAAGCACGCTTCGAGCTGCACAATAACGTCCGCAACGATGCCGGACACAGCTTTGAGAAATCTCTACAGGTTATTCCTCTGGCGGATGAGATGCTGCAGCGGCAGTTCCATGCCCAGCTGGACGATCGCTGGCAGGCCGTGGCCCAGGCCATCGAACAGATTCAACACAACATTGTTGAGTGCCTGTCCTCAGAGGAAATGCCAGCGGCAGAGAAGCTGAAGCTGGTGGAACGTGAGCTGCAGGAGATCTATCTGACAATGACCAGCATGAAGGGTGTCATCAAGAACGAGGAGGAGCTCTGTCTCTATATCGAACGTGTCCAGGTGCTGCGCACTCGCGTAGGCTTCATTGGCAACGAACTGGGACGCATTGGGCTCCAAGAGCCGGCCGCCATTGAGCCCGAGAAGATTGGCGAACTGTTTGCCCTTTCGCACAAGATAACCACACAGATAGCCGAGGAGCTGGAAGGTGCCTCCGTTCTGCGCGATCAGCTGCAGTCCATCCAGGAGGGCATCAGTAACCAGCGCAAGCATCAGGCCAAGATCTCAGTCATTCTGGATGAATGCGAGGCGGCTGAGCGCCAGGGTGCCGATGTCCTCGAGAAGGCCGTCACCGACTGTCAGAATGTGGGCGAGGAGCTTGTCGCCAGCTGGCAGGAGATCATGCGCATCCGCCAGATGCTCCACACCCTGCCCATGCGCCTCAAGATGTCCGTGTCGCCGGTGAAGCTCGAACGGGACATTTCCCAACTGCAAGACGATCACGCCTTCCTCGAGAGCAAGTGCACCAACATCATGGCCATACTACGCAATCGCCTGGCCATGTGGCTGCGCTACGAGCGTCAGCTGGAGCTCGTCCATGGCTCCGTACAGGAGACAGACTTTATGATGGAACTGATTCGAGTGCACGGACAAGTGGACTACGAGCGACTCAGGAAAGCCACTGAAAGATTAGAGGTAAGTTCCGATCCCTTAACCAACTCCCTGGCAACTCCTTTTATGACTTTGTTTACTGTCTGTTTGAGATACAATAGAAGGTTATCTGTCATCCTACTACCTGCTGTTCGGAATTTTTGCTAACATTTTGCCTAGGCTTATCAGCATCGCACTTATGAGTCTTAGTTTTCCCAAATGTCTACAAAAGATGGTGAATTTTTGTGTTTTCAATCAGTTTGTGTTTAGCACTCGCACTGGAATAATATTAGTCTCTGAATTTGTGAAATTTGCAGAAATTTTTATTGATTTTTTGTTAGAGATTTTTGAAGACATTTTCATTCATTTTGGGACAGTGAAATTTGAAGAAATTTTCAATAATTTTGTAGGCCACCAAAGCTTATTTTAAAAGTTCAATAATAATTATTTTTTGAGAAATGGTATTTCTTCAAAAAACATACCGTAAAGCGATTAATAGTGTATTTAGATTCGTAGTTACGCCAAAAATTATGTCTATCGTTATGTAAAAGTTTTCATCGTGCCTTCTAGAAGGCTTTAAATATTATAAAGTTCTTGCAAAAACCACAATCGAAGGGTAATTATTTATTAATAGTTTATTTCTTATAAATATTCTTATCAAGATGTTTTCTTGTGGTATTCATGACACATACCCTCTTAAAGTAAATTCCAACTTGTTTGAGAATTCATGACACCCGAATTTCTTACATTCTTCACGGTATCAAAGCTTAACGCAGCTTTAGCGTAAGCTTTTGCGTTGCGTCTCTCTTTCTCTCTGTGCTCTTTGGGTAGCAAGTTTATGTCCGGCGGCAGTTGCCGTTAGCTTCGAACCGAGCGCGTATCGCATTTAGCTCGTCGGTCTAGAAATTCCCATTATAATAAATATAAACTAATACAATCCACCAATACAACTCTTCGTTAGGGACTCGCCGGCGATCTACATAACCGCGAAGAACTCATCGATGAGCTTAAGGGCGCCGCCAAGCCGCTGATCGAGAGCTGTGATGTCCAAATTGTCGAACAAATCGAATCGGCTGTGCAGGATGCGGTAGTTGCCTGGAATGACACCACCGAGAATCTGCAGCAGCTCTGCACACGCTACCAGCGAGCCGTTGAACTCTGGGATAAATATCGCAACGCTTCGGCGGCCGTTCAAAGTTCCATTGACCAGCAAATGGATACGGTCAAGTCCTTGGAGCAGCCCTTGGATGCCCTACAACATGCCAAGGTAAGTCTCTGTGTGTATTATTGTGTGTGTGTGTATGTCTTATTGTAAGTAGATGACGTGACCCACTGGCTTTCCCACCCAATAATTGTGTGTGTGGGTGGACTATTTGATTTTTTTTTTTTTTGGCGGCAAACGAGAACGAACCGAAATGTGACTATTTAATTGTTCTCCACAGCCATAAAAACTACTACAACTCGTACCTATAATTACATTGATTTTCCGTATTACTATCCTGGTTCATATCTACCTTGCCTGTATTTTTTGGACGGTTCAATGTAATCGGTTGTAATAGCCTCCAGAGCAGAAGGGAGGGGGCTTCTCATCGTAATATGTGTGTGCGTTGCGGTAACGTTTGTGTCATAAATTATGCTCGAGCAAATAGACACACAAACTGCTTTCCTATATTCGATATTTACTTTAAAAATTAACGCATACTCTAGTCGTCAGTCGCCGTTCGATGTGTGTTTATTGATCATTAGGGTCGTCTACCGCCTGGCTGTAATTATATTTTTGGACACAGCACCAACTGTCATTTCCCAGCAGAAGAGGAGAGTTTATCAACCCAGTAGCTGCTTTATCAACAGAAGCCAGTACGCACAGGTCCGAAAACATTCCTAGCCTTAAGCCTCCCTCCTCTGTTGTGGGATAAAAGATAAATGTATTTCCAAACACTTCCATGTGCTGTGTGATTTTCAATGCCAAACTTTGGGCTGGTTTTTGTTTGCTTGTGCCCCATGCTCCGCTGATAAAGCATCGCTGGGCAAATATTTCACAGATGATATCATAGGGCAAGCAGCAAATAAAGGGCTCTCGCGTAATGCTGCCTGCCTTTAAATTAGAAATAGGAACAGAACGACGCAGCATGACCTGTTTTTTTGTAGTTTCTAAATTGAAAACGAAAGTGAGCACTCTCTCGGTGTGCGGCCCTAATTACATTTTGTCAAGCAGAGAGGGGAACTGGTGGTGCCTGCACTCGACTCACTCGCTGGGCTTTTGCGGTGCACGACAATTGATAAGGGCTGACCGGCCAGACCCGGCCGGCTTGAGCTAAATACTATTTGTTGAGCATATATAGAACAAACGACAGTGTATGTGTGTGTGTGTTTTGTAGATTTAAATATAGACGAGTGACATTTTGCATGCAATAGAAAATATATTTCAACAATCGCTGAAGGTTTGCTTCTTAGACAAAACGAAGCTTTAACTATTTAAGAAAAAAACCTGATTCTCTTTTAAGGAAAAATGTATATAATTAAGATTTGTTTTGGTGGTCATTAACTAACTTGATTTCCATCTTTAACTCACTCTTTTACCTCTTCCTCTAGGCCTGTCAAGATAATTTGACTACACAAAATGATAGGCTCTTGGAACTGCGTGATATTGTGGCCAAAATAGCCGCCGATGTGGGCCTGGATGCTTCGGCATTGATGCAGGGCGAATTGGATGCTTTGGGTCAACGTTTGACCGAATGCAAAGATGCCATTACCACATTGGCCAATGTGGCCGAGACGCAGGACAAAGAGCGTAAAGAGCTGGACAAGGAGGTGACACAGGCCAAGTTTTACTTCAACAATGTGCAGCAGGTGAGTCTGGCGAAAGCACAAGAAAAACGGGGAACTCTAGTTATCGATTATAGCTAGGAATACAAATGTGGATATTGGGACTGGGACTGGGACTGAGACTGAGACTGGGGCTTGTGGAAATTCCCACACAAACAGAGCAAAACACACGCGGCGGCTCTGGCTAGCCGGCTAGCAGTTAGTGCCAGTGCTTCCCGTGTTGTTTGTTGTTGTTAATACCATACGAAGGACATGCTATTTTAAGTGGGTTAAAAGTTGAAAAACTTTTCGTGTACAATACTAACACTCACCCCCACCCACAATGAGCCACAGTGGCTCATTATTGATTGATGGCACCAGGGCGTGACCTGATGTTTGATATTTTGGGTGGGGCGATAGACTTATAAAATTGTAATTGACACTGAGCACCGAAGATGCTGAATATTTGATGAAACAGAATGATATTAACATATTCAAATGGGTAGTTTAGGGGCATTTATGGACAGAAAATATGGTTTTAGCTTGGCAAACTGCAAACGCCAAATGACCAACTTTGCTGCACTTTGAATGATTGCCGGGAAGACCCTTATTAAACATATATTTATGCATCGTATGATAATGGTCTTGTGGCTCCTGCCTATAGCTATTGATTGTTACTTGGGCTTTATGCGGGTTGAAATTGTAAAAAAAAAGTTATATTGATTTATTTTCTTTTTCAAAAAATTCTCTGACTTGAAATCACATTTTTAATGAGAGTAAAATTGTTTGAGGACTTCTTATGCTTGCTAAAAATAATTTCTAGAACAGGTTTTTCAAGCAGCTTTGCACCACGGTGCGCCCATTTTTGTCAGTTACACCTGTGTGCCCCACAACCAGTTTAAAGCGTGCCGCCGTTCGCCTCCCACTGCACCGGCGAGACAATTGAAGTTGGCAAGGGGCAGAAAGCCAGAGCCATAGCCATAGCCAGAGTTAGTGAGTAGAGAGCGCGTGTCGTTAGCATGAGGTCATTGCCAGTCGGTGTGGCAGAAAGAGGTGCCAACGGGCTTTCAATGTTTTATTGTTTTCGAGGCGAAGTCATGCAGCCATGCAGCGGGTAACTGGAGACATCGGAGTGCAACCCATATTAGGGTCAGGCCAATTAGCGATGCACAAAACAACTGACCAGCACTGAAAATACACTATTAATATATGTAAATAATATCTCTTCTTTGCAGGACATATCACGGGAGGCACCGCAAACGCCCAGGGAGAGCGAGGAGCAGTTGGCCGCGCTGCGTGCCCATCTGCAGACTCTGGCCCGCACGGAGGAGCAGCTGCGGCAGCTGCGTGAGCGACAGCAGCAGAGCAATGAAGTGGCACCCACAAGTGTCGCCGATGATGGGATACTCGAGGTGCTGGCCCTGTGGCAGAAGATATTCCAGGACACGTTCCAGGAGTACCATCGCCTGTCGACGCGGCTGGCCCGCAGCCAGAACAGCTCGGAGGCACTGCGCCTGTGGCGTCAGTATCTGCAGCATGTCCAGTCCTTCCTCTCCTGTGCCATACCCGAGGACTATAGCAGTCTGCGGGAGCAGCAGCAGCTGTGCGCCATCCACCAGAACCTCTTGATCTCCCAGCAGAGCGTGCTGGCAGAGACGCCACTCGAGTCGGAGCTATCGGATCAGTACAAGGCGCTGACCAATCTGCACAACGAAACGCTGTCGCGGATCATGCAGCGCAACGGGGAACTGGAGCGTCGTGTGAGCGGCTGGAATGCCTACCGCCAGCAGCTGGCGGCCCTGCTCGACTGGCTGCGACAACGCGAGGCGGAGCGCAACAATCTTCAGCTGCGCTACATCCACCTGAAGCGCGTGCCGCACCTCAAGAGCCGCCTGGAGGGTCTGCTGCATCAGCTGGACCAGGGCGAGCAGCAGAGCAAGTCCCTGCAGGAGCAGCAGCAACAGTTGTCGCGCCACTGCGACGAGGCCCTGGCCACCGCCATGCGCATGGAGCAGGCCAGCATCGGGCAGCGCATCAACAATCTGCGTGCCGCCCTCGAAACCTGGCAGGGATTCCTGCACCGCATCAGCCAGCTCTCGGAGACCTACGAGCAGCGTGTGCTGCAGCTGCAGAAGGAGTTTGGAGCAGCCCAAAAGCTGCTGGACAGCAGCAGCGAACCGCTGCCCACCCAGCCAGCGGCCATTGAGCAGCTGCTGCAGGCACTGCGGGCACAGCGTGTCCAGTTGGGCGCACAGGTGCCGGCGCTGGAGAGCCTCACGGTCACCCAGGAGGAGCTGAAGGAGTGCGTTAGTCCGCACGACATGAAGACCATCCGCCAGCGCAATTGGCTGTTGTGGCAGCAGCACGCGGACCTCGACTATCAGCTGGCGAGCCTCATCAACAGCATTGACGAGCGGCTGTCCCTGCAATCCAACTACCAAGTCCGCTACGGACGCATCTCCCAGTGGCTGCAGCGACTCGAGCAGCGCGTCGAACGCGATGCCGATGTCTCGGCCATGGCCAATCCGGAGCAGGCAGCCAAGCAGCTGGAGCAGCAAGTCAATGCAGAGCTGCAGCTGCGCGACAAGGAGCGCGAATGGCTGCTCTCCACGAGCCGAGAGCTGCTCTCGCTGTACACCGAGGAGCCCGAGGTGCGGGCCCAAGTGCAGCAGCAGAGCGATGCCCTCATCGATCGCTGGCAGCGACTCAAGTACCTGTGCAAGCAGCGGGCCACGAAGATCGGCGAGCTGAAGATGACGTTGCTGCGGCTGGAGGAGAGGATAGCCCTCATCCGAGCGTGGCTCTTTGAGGTGGAGTCGCAGCTGGACAAACCGCTCAGCTTCGACAGCTACACCCCGAACGTGATCGAGGCCAAGCTGAAGGAGCACGAGCAGATCCAGCGATCCATCGAGCACCACAGCAGCAATGTTGGCGAGGTCCTCAATCTCGTTGAGATGCTGCTGAACGATGCCGACAGCTGGCGCACTCAGGTGAACACCTCCGGCCTGGCATCCTCCGCCCAAAACCTCGAGCAGCGCTGGAAGAACGTCTGCAGTCAGTCTGCGGAGCGTAAGCAGCGCATTCTCAGCATATGGAACCTGCTGCAGAGTTTGATCAAACAAACGGCCGAGCACAAGAACTGGCTGGGCAAGCAGGAAACCCAACTGGCGGGCTACGAACGTGACCACAAGTCCAGCGGCAAGCAGAAGCTGGAGGAGCGACAGAAGGAGCTGCGCTCCAAGCTGGATGAACTCGACAGTCAGTCGGTGAATCTGCGGCATCTGGAACAGACGTACGCCAAGCTGACAATGGCCACTGGTGTGGATCCCGAGAACATACAGAAACTCACGCTGCCCACCAAGGTGATGCTGAGCAAGTGGCGCCAACTGACGCCCCGCTGTCATGCCCTGCTCGATGCCATTGACAAGGATGCCAAGGTGCTGCGAGAGTTTCATGCCGCACAGCAGGAGGCCACTCAATCCCTGACGGCCATACAGAAGGCGCTCGAGCAACTGCCCAACCCAACAGCTGAGGCAGAGCCCAAGGCGGTGCTGCAGCGTTTGGAGAGTCTGGAGCGGAAGCTGCAGGATGCCCAAAAGCATGTCCAGCAAGCGGATGCCTTGGCCCAGGACGCCAAGACACGAACCAAACAGCAGCCACAACTGAAGCAGATGCTCGAACTGATAACCGTCTACACCACACTCTGGCAGACAGTTCAGACGCGCATCGTCACCCTGAAGACCAGCTGGCTGGCCAGATCGGCTCAAAGTGCTGCCGTGGCAGTCAGCGAGGCGGCCAATGCAGCCGTTCAGGTGAACACGCTGTCCCAGCGGAAGATGCGCCAGGCACAGCAGATGCATCGCGAGACCTCCATCACTGCCAAGGATGCGTACATCATGGAGCTGCAGACGGCCATTGCCGAGTGCCAGAACAATCTGGACGAGCTGCAGCGTACGATTGTGGACAAGACACGCAAGCCGGGCCCACAGAAGATAGCGAAGCTCCTGGGCAATGCCCAATCCTCAACGGAACTAGTCAAGCATCTCAGCAATCTGCTGCTAACCGAATGCCAGGCCGACAGCCAGGCTGCCCAGTCGGAAACCGTCTCAGAGCTCACGTTGCGCTTTGCAACACTGCAGTCGCAGTGGAAGGCGCGACAGCAGCACGATCAGAATGCAAGGTAAGCAAATATATACTTTAATTTACTTATGTTTATTGAAGACTTGCAAAACCTTAGATTCCTTTTAGTCTTCACCTGCGTTCTATATGGGTTTTGTTTAATTTTGTGGTGGATTTTACATCATTAATTTTCGTGTTCCGCTAACAGAAGAGTTTGAAAATGCAGTTTCAAGACATGCAATTGAGCCAAATATTAAGAGTTATAGTTAATAAATAAATTACTGTGGAGTAAAAGTGGCATATTGTAGAATCTTTCTTTATTCTGTGTCTCAACTGCTCCTAAATCAACTTGTTATTGAGAGGCAAACGGCATCCTGTATAATTGATTATGTTATAACAGATGACTTGTGTTTGTGGACAGCTGGAAATCTTTCTAAATTATCAATTAGTCAGTCGCTGTCCATCGACTGTAGAGTTTTTAAAATATATATTTGAAAGCTAAATGGCTGCGGTTTATTTTTCATAAATTTATTAGTCCTAGCTTTGGTTTTGCAAGTGCTTTGATCTTTATGTTTTTATTGGTGTTTGGGTTGTTGACTAACAAAATGTTTTATTGCTTTCCATCTCTCTCGCTGTTGCCCACTTCTGTCACACTCACACACACGACACGCATAAACAAACACTCTCTAAACATTACACCTCAAAAATGCTTAACTTGAACGAACGTGCATCAACCAGGTGCCTACTACCTGCGTCCTACAAGTCCAACTGCATACAGTAAGTGTTCGCTAAATACATTCCAGACTACCTGCCTGTCCCTCAATTGTAGTTCCATCTCCTGCTGTGCACCACTCCTGTGTGTTCCAAGTGTTTGGTGTGTGAACTCCACTAGACAAAAGCTGGCAGCTGCTAACCAAATAACTGCCAGACTCCAGGCTGGAGCACAGCAAATGAGAAAGAACTATAATGCTCAAGCTGCCGCTGCTTAAAGCTAAATGAAAGCTATTATTAGCACAGCTTATGCCAACAATTAAACATTAAAAATCTTGTCTGTGAATATGCCACTAATTGTACTTTGATTTTTGTCTTCCTTAGCGAGGTCGGCCGTCTAACGTGTCCGCTCTGCACGCAACGAAACTGGCAGCAGATCGACAACGATCTGTGGCGCCTGGAGCAGTGGCTGCAGTTCGCCGAGAGCACACAAAAGGCTCAAACGGCACCACCGTCCAACATTGAGCTGCTGGAGGATGTGACACAGGATCATCGCGAGTTCTTGCTGGATCTGGAGAGTCACAAGTCGATCATTTCGTCACTGAATGTGGTCGGTGATCATCTGGCCACCCACACCCTGGACACGGAGAAGGCTCGCCAGCTGCGCTCTCGCCTCGATGCGGATAACGAGCGCTGGAATAATGTCTGCATCAATGCCACCAAATGGCAGGCTCTGCTGCAGACCGCCCTCATGGGCAACAGTGAATTCCATCAGACCATCGATGAGCTGGTCGATTGGTTGCAGCGCACCGAGCAGAACATCAAAGCGTCCGAGCCCGTGGATCTCACCGAGGAGCGTTCGGTGCTTGAAACAAAATTCAAGAAATTCAAGGATCTGCGCGCCGAATTGGAACGCTGTGAGCCGCGTGTCGTGAGTCTACAGGATGCCGCCGATCAGCTTCTACGCTCTGTCGAAGGCTCTGAGGAACAGTCCCAACATACCTACGAAAGGTAAGGTCTCCCAGGTGCCAGTTTCGAGGGCGGAACGAAACGATTCGTAGGTGCCGCTTGAGCTTAGATGTGCCCAAGACTTTAGGAGTTAGATGGAAATAAAATAAGGATGGGTTTTAGAAACTTTTATTAGTTGGGCGGAAATTACTTTTACGGATTCTTATTTGTAATTTTATGATCTTACTTTAAGTAGTTAGTTTCTTATTGAACTCTATTAGAAAATTCTTTTCTACCACTCTCCATGTGCTTTTTCCATTCAAATTTCTTAAGATATTGGCATTTAATGCTTGTATTGACATTACAACACGAAAAGCTTTTTTGGAAACACTTTCCTGTACAAAAAATTTCAACATTACTCCAACAAAATTATACTAAAAACAATCTACAACTTTTGGCACAAACTTTTCACTTTCCATGTCCCTATAGGACACTTCGTACCCAGTAAAAATTATAATTTTTCATTTACTTAGTGCAGTATCAATTAGTATCCCAGACATTCGTTTTGCCTATAAACAACATTTTGTGTTTGTTTTGCTGTTTTTGTTGCGTATATTTATACATATTTATTTTTATTTGTGTTTTTTTTTTTTTGGTACTCAAAATTCTTTCGTCCGCCCATTCTAACCCTTCATCCAAACAAACACCTCGAGCACCGTTGACAATTATTTTAAATGATCTAGAACCCTTTCCAGATTGACCGATCTCCGTCTGCGTCTGCAATCGCTGCGTCGTCTCTCCGGCATTTACATTGTCAAGCTGGGCGCAGTGCTCGGCTACGAGGGCGACAATCTTGGTGTGCCGCTGCACATGTTGTCGAGTGAGGTAAGTCCTAGTCCAAACGTGTTGAATTGTCCTCAAAAAAGAAAAAAAGAGAATCTGTTTTATTTGTTGATTTGTAAGCGCACCAAAAGTAAGTGAAAACAATTGGCTGTCCAAACAAGTGTACCATAAATAAAAACCCCATCTCAAAATTGAAATCAAAATTATATTAATTATGATTTATATTTTATTTTTAATTTATTTGATTTCCTTTCTTTTCCATTATGGCATCATATCTAGCTTTTGGATAATACTACATTATCAACCTCTTCTATGCAGGCCGCCGCACCCAACACAGAAAATGCAAAGTAAATATTGATAGAAGTATCATTTTTCAGTTGAATGCATCGTAGATTTTAGAGCAACGTGTGCACCTCCGTACATTATTCCCACAGTATATGGTCACATATGTGGTTCCGTTTTAGTCCATTCTTGCATGCATTTTGTCATTGTTAAATGTGTGATTTGGTATGTGGCCCATTGACTAATGTATATCTCGATTATCCCCAATTGTAGCAACACCGATGGCGATGCTGTCGATGGCGATGTCATCAATACCACGGTGCTGGCACGCGGTGCTCGCTTCCTAGGCCGCGTTGCGCGTGCCTCCCTGCCCATACAGGCGCTCATGCTGTTGCTTTTAGGTGTGGCAACACTGGTGCCCCACGGTGAGGACTATACGTGCATGTTCTCCAACACATTTGCACGAAGTCTGGAGCCGATGTTGTCGTATCCCCATGGACCGCCGCCAACGTAAACCCCCTCAAAAATGTCAAACAAAAAGAAAAGAAAAAGCTGTCGAGTTGCTATTGGATAAGTGCAAGAAAAAAGAACATCAACTAAACAAATATATAACAGAATAATCCCCTAATTATAACATGCCTTTATAAAAAATGTCCTGTTTAAAAATATTTGGAATTATGACAAATTTCACATTTTGACCGTTTGTATAGCTAAAGGCATTCAATTAAAATTAAAACACAAATCTTTATCTGTATTGTACATAATAATTAAATCGACCTACTCGTATACCCCCCAAAACAAAACAAAACAAAACAAACCCCTAGACTCGACGAGCATAAAGAAACACACAAAAACTTGAAAGAATGAGAAACTATATTCAACAAACTAACGACAAAGTAACGAAACACTTTTGTAAAACGATATATACATTATACATACATATATATTTGCACAGCAAACAATTTATATATTCATATATATATGATCCCAGAACTATAAAGAGACCCCAACATTTTGTATATAAAATAACTAAGCTAAAACGAAATCAAAATACGCACACGAAAATTTTACTCATAAGCGCACGCTCCCTTCATCCATAGAGCAATTGCAGCAGCAGCGGAAGGTGGACATGGTCTTTGCAAATCTCGTGGAACATTTTAGCACTAACCCATGGCCACAAGCCGCTGCTGTTGCCATCAGTCGGCCACGAAACTGAACAACAAAAAACCCAAGACAAATCATGACCCACATAGACCAAATGCCTGGGAAAGCTATTCAAAAGCCAATGCTTGTGGTCAGCCAAGCGTCTTTCTCCCAAATTACAAGGCGTCATGGCTGGCCGTAGGCCATTGGCTTTTGAATAGACCCTGGCCACTGAGAGTCCTCGTTGCCCAAGGATAAACTCTACCAAAAGACCAAGCTCTCTCCCACGGTCCTGGTTAAGAGAACAATTTAACTGCTCAGAGTAAACCAGCCACAGGTGCTCAAGGCAGTTCCAATCCTTAAATACCAGCACAGCGATGACTCGAAGACATTTTCATGCATTCCTGATACTCATTTCCAAAATTACAACCATAGACATCACTGGCCCATGATGCTACCTCTTTGCGGGGAACCGGAGCGTGCGCATCACGAGCATTGAACAAATACGAAGCAAGTGTCCTATGCCGGTGCTAAACCAACCAACAAATTTTCTATATAAAGAAAATACTGTAAAATGCGTATACAACAAATTGAAATTAAAAACTAATGAAAAATAAAATACAAAAAAAAATCGTAAAAATGCAATTTGCATATAGAAATGGCCTTAAGTCCATCCAGTAAAAAAGAAAACATTTTGTTAATATTTTTTGATAAACACCTTATTCTATTTGCCTTATACTTATGTATCAACTTGTTTATTAAACATATATTTTTTTTATTATTTAACGCTTGAGCAATTATTGAGAAAATACATACATTTATTTATTAGACATATGCGATTTATTATGTATTTAATTAAGTTGATTAAAAATGTTAAATTTGCGTATTTCGCTGCTTCTATCTGGTTACAAATGAAACGTTATCAAATTTATATAATTTATGTAGCATTTTAAGATTTCCTTTCTTGTGAACAACTGTACCTTTATATGCATTATGATTATTAAAGAAAAAAATAAAAAAAATAAATCAATGCTGTAGAATTTTCCCTATGGGGAGGGAGGAAGATTTCGAAATGATTTTAAAATAAATCCATTGGGCCTATACGACCTATTCAATATAGGAGGAAATCTGAATGAAAGGTAATCTTGTAAGTTCCTGATAGGTGATTCCTTATCGTAAGCATCACACACAGATGTCAGATCGAGTTCAAGTTCATAAAGTTCGCAAATGAGATTACAAACGAATTTTAAAATAATGTAATATTTATTTATAAAATCCATATTAAGATACATATTTTTAAATGTTTGATTATAATGGCTTTGAATTGTTTGTTCGAAGAGGGCTAAACTCTAAAAGAGTGCCGCGATTCAGTACTAGAACTCTTGAATCCATCGTGCAATTATAGCAGCTTCCTTATTGCGTGCATCGCGCACCGATGGCGGATCAGCAGGGTCGCTGTGCCGCAAGTCCAAGTGATGGGCGCCCTCTGGCAAAATAATAATATCCACCTTATTATTGGGGGCCTGCAAAACACCGCCTCCACTCCATGGGTCCAACAGGCCATTGCTAAATATGATATTGGTGGCCGTCTCAATATTCCTGCCACCATAACGTAGGATTATGTCGTATGGCTTGGGTGTTAGACGGTAATCCTTGTAGCATTTGTCGGAGAATTCCTTAAAGTTCCAGTTCGAGGGACGGAACATGGTGTCGGTGCCGTTGGAGCAGAATGGCATGACCATCTGGTTGCAGGTCTGCACATTCCAGCCGGATTCGTCGGCATTCGAGTTGACAGAGATGTCCAGGCACTTTGCAGAATTTGTGTAGTTTGTGTAGACAGCCAGGGCACTGGCCATGGCATGCAGCAGATCTGCATCGTTCTGGTGTAGGTCCTTGAGATAAAAGCAGACCTGTCGCACTGGGTAGGCCGGTAGCGGAGCCAGGAAACTGCTGTTGTACGGATAGTTGACCATGGCCAGATTTCCGTAGACCTCCTCTATGTAGTCCAGGAATTTCTTCAGGTCTGCATCGTTCTTGATGGGATTGCACAGGTGGAAAGCATCGGAGATTTGTTTTTTGCCTGCCTCGGTTCCACCCAGTGTCTCAAAGGTCTTCCAAGAACGGCCAATGTTGGTTGTACAATTGGAATTGTAGGCATTCTGGAACACCGATGTGACTATTCTGTAGAATATATCACAGTCGGTTATGCCAGGAAACTGGAGAATAGGTGCCGACGCAGCTAATGCTCCGGCAACAAGGTGCGGATACTTCATGCGGAACCAGGCAGCCAGCATGCCGCCGTAGGAGCCTCCAAAGGCCACCACCGGCAATGGGAGATCGTTGCGTAGGAACGTGATCAACATTGCGTAATCTTCCAGCGTCTGCTCCACCGTAAAGTAGGCCAAGTGATCCGGCATGCTGGCGTTGAACGTTGAGGCACCGAATGGCAGTGATTTTCCATAATAGCGATGCTCCGCAAAAATCAGCAGTGCCCTCTGTTTCTCGGCCAGCTCCCACATGAAGCCCGTATTCTGCGCAAACAGCTCGATGTCGCCCTCGTTGCCAGTGTAAAAGAAGATCGGTGTGTGCGCATTCTTCTTGTCCACAAAGGAATCGTTGTACAGATACCGAATGTTGAAGGTGGCATTGCTCAGAAAGCTGAAATGGTCCAGCGGCACTTGAAACTCCTTGATTTCGTACTTGAACTTGACCTCAGCCCCGCCTGATTCCACTTGGAGAGCAGCAGTGCATATAATTATACAAATTGCTGCCGCAGCAGCTCCAATTGAACCAATCATCTCGGGAGTAACAGAATACAGTGAAACTACGCACTGGAGACGGTTTAATAAAATAATTTAGGGTTCGTTATCTCTAAGCCGGGATTTTACATACTTGCTCGACCGCGAATATACCGACTGACCCTCAGAAATATACCAAAATATACCGTAAATCTTAAATAATTTTTCTCGATTTTGATATTCTGATTAATATTACCAGCTAGTTAGCTCTATCAGCACTAAACTAAAGATTTTTCCCGATTCATCAACTAATTCCTTTCAAGAGGGGCTAATCTGCAGAACCCTCTTTTCTTGTATTGGTTACAAAAAAAACGTTCAATCTTTCTCCCAGCCAAGCCCTCAAAAATATACCAAGTATACAAAAGAAAGAAGAAAATTTAACCCACTTACCACCCTCTATTTAATCAGTTGAGCACATTCATTTAAAACTGGGTAAATACAATGGATTAGCCAGTCTAAATAAGAATTGTATACAGTTTTAAAGTTTCTCCATTCATTTTTTGATAAAGACCCTTTTTATAGACACCTCTCTCTCACATATATTTTGCTGTTGGTTCTCGCGTGTCGCCATCTAGATATATTCAGTTAAACCACAATAAAAGCTTTAAAAAGCTTTTATAAATAACAATATAGCTATATATACCCTGTAATTAAATGGTATATTATTTCAATTGTATTTAAGGGACATCCTGACTTTACTTTTTCCTTAATGCTTTATAGTGCTTTGAGTTTAATGTATATGTACATAACCCCACAATATTTTCAACAATATACACTTCGGGGACAGACAGAATTTCATACATACTGTTAGATGCTGCTAGCAATTAGTATCGCGTTCATCAAATTCAGTTGGTCCTGTAAAAATGAGTCTACCCTGGTTCATCCATTCGCCGAAAACCATAGAGCGTTTCAAGCACGTGCCCAGCAAAGTGGCACTAGGCATAGCAAATCTCCAGACTATTGACCAGCAGCGACGCACTGCGAGAAATAACAATAAGAGCCGCAGCTCCATGGCGCTTAGTGATCGCGGCGCCAAAACTCAGGTGAGCCGCGATAAGCGCGAAGGTAAGCGATGCACAAGCCGTATTATTCCCTATAATCATGGACAATGATAAACAGCGGGCATACAAGCCCAGGGGGACCATCAGCGTCACAGTGCAACCGGCAAGCTGAATCGCCGCAGTTCCCTGCTGGAGTGCCTGACGCCCAAAGAGCGCGGCCGCGACTTCTGGGTGAGCGAGGTGCACAGCCTTGACGACCCACCGACTGTCAGCAATAGGAGCAGCTACGAGCGTTTGCTCGCTGAGAATGACCGCCTGCTCGAGGAGAACGAGCGTCTGAGAAATGACAAGGTGCGTCTGGCGGCAGAAAAGCTGAGCGCGCAGGAATACATTAACTATCTGCAGGAAAAGTTGAGCGAGAATGTGATAGAAACCATGCAGATGAAGCGCGGTTTGACCAAGATTCGCCAAAAACTGGAAGCCAGCAAGCGACAGGCTAGCGACACTCCGTCAAGGCACTCCTCTAAGGCACAGTTGTGAGGGGTTCGTTTTATTTATTGTATTCAAAATGCATTATTTATTCACTGTATTGTAAGGAAATAAAGCATGAAACGTTTGCTTAGCTTGCCCTGAAAATTCCACTCGATTAACATCATTGAAATCAGCGTCAAATTAAATGAAATTTAACATTGGAATCCGCTCGACCTCGAAGAGTAAATACTTAATCAGATGAAAACGATGATGTTCAAATGCGACAGCCTCTTCGCAACGCCTCTGTTTATATAACACTCCTGCTGGTCATTGAGGCGATCATCGGATTGCTACTAATCACCGTAACGGCCTATTACCACGCAATTATCACTGGATATTTGTCAGAGATTGAGTGTCGCTCGGTCCACGGCTACTTGCTGAATATCTATATATTTGGAGCACAGCTGGTTCTGACATTCCTGTGCAGTCTGTCCATGTGGAGGCGCCTGTGGAAGCGGCGTTGCACGCCCAACATTCAATTACTTCTGTCCATTTGGCTATTTTATTCCTGCATCATCGTTGCCTCGGGCTTGGCGTCTGTTTGGAACGTGTACCGCAGCGGGAAAGTCTTCGAAAATGGAGCCGAAACATCGCTGATCCGTGGCATCGATATGTACTACTCGTGTCCGGAGTGGAAGCTGCTGTGGGATGGTCTACAACTGCATGAAGAATGCTGTGGAGTTCACAGCTACAAGGATTGGATGAATGCCGACTGGATGCCCCAGCAGGAGGATAACGATAACTGCTCGACACCAAGTGGTTCCAACGGGATTCTGGCACCCTACACATGCTGCAAGCGAGGCTGTGAGAGTAGCACGAACCCAGATATGTCCAGCGATGAACAGCAGCCGTTCCCTTCCTTTTCGCTCGATTCCATCCACACCAACGGCTGCCTGGCCGTGTTTTGCAAAGCCCTGTGGCGGCTCTTGTACACTCAGCTGGGACTGGCTCTGCTGTCTCTTAAATTTCTGGTAAGTGACGATGGCATTATGTTGAAAGTATCTTTTCATTATAGTCTTTACCTTTTCGTACAGATCATGCTCTGCTTTCTAACCAAATTCATAGTGCAGCGTCAGAACGAGAGCGATGCCAGCTGCGACAACTTGGGTCTCACAGATGATGACGGATATCCTCTGGTCGTTGTGGTGGGTGTGCCTGCATGTGTAGCTTTTTGTGTTGTATTTTATAGAAATTTGTCCCGACCATAGAAATACCCCTCCAATGTGCGTTGCCTGGTGATTGGTGATGAGGATCTGGCTTCCGATTTGGCCCCCGATGCCCACTATTGCAATTGCGATGACTCAGCGGAGGATGATTGTGAACACTAAGTTGATGTTTTCGTTTTGTTCTTATATTTTATAGTTTTTTAGTTTATTTTTTATATTAAAATCTTAGTTGCAATTTGATTTCATTTCAACTTTCTTTTAGTCAAGTGGCCCTGCTTTTCATTTATCTTAAATATGCATTCCATAAGCAAGTTAGAACTAATATCGATAATAATCGATATCGAAAATATCGAAACTGCAGTAGATTTGATTTAAACTTATCTAAAACCAATTATTACCAGTAACCTTTTTTGAGTATTTACCAACACTTCCATTTTACGGTCACACAGAAGCCTTTTCACTTTTTGTCATAGAACTTTGAGTTTTTGACTAAACGAGGCATAAAGCTGTAAGCGTAAATTGTTAAAACCAGACAGACTGAATAAAATGTGAGTACAAATAATAAAAACACGAAAATTTATAAATAATTCCAAATTTGTTCATTGCAGGCAATCACCGCATACTGATGACGAGGGGAGGTCTGTCTTCCTTTTTGGGTTTATTATGGAATTTTCGTTTCTTACATTAACTTATTTTGTACAGCTCCGATGAGGGGAAATCACTCACCGCTCCCACTGCCGATGCTCCTACTGCATCGACGTACTATGGGGATATTTTCCAATCATCTAGTAGCGGCGAAGACTCGCCCAAAAGCGGCTCATCAAGCGACGACTTATCTGACAACGATTCACCATGTCCCGAGTAAGTACATGACATTTTTCATAAAAAAACTAAAGAGGAGACAGGCTAACTGCATATTAACTTCAATATTGGATATGTCTGATATTTGTGCAGAGCTTGTCCGTGTGTTTTCGTGCATCTGCATGTCTGGAACAGCATCATCCTCGCTGTTGTCTGGAACAGCATCATCCTCGCTTTTGTCTGTGGTAGAACCATAGGGAACATCGTCTCCTGTATCTGAACTTGAGCTTGAATCATCCATGTCGCCATTTATCGGAACGCCCTGCATGTGGCACGACTGGGTCAGTCCAGAGGTCCTTGCCCTTGAGCATCTTGTTCACGCGTGGCACGATGGTGTCGGAGATGCCCTGCTGGTTGTCGTTGATGAGCTTCACCACCACATTCTCCAGCTGACTGTTAATGGCGCGGTTGAGGCTGCCGTGGCCCATGAAACCGCTGATGTCCGACTTCACTGACTCCAACGAGATGGTGGTCTTCAGCGAGGTGATCTTAGCGGAGCCCAGAGCATGGGCAGCTTTATACTTCAGGGTGCCGGCAATGCGGAGGTTGATCAGATCGAAGAGCAGGTCACCGGTGCCCTCATACTCGACGGACAGACCCAGCTGGCTTAGGGCATCGATCAGGGTGTCGGAAGGAAGCATCTTGCTCCTCGGACACCATAGTCGGCTCCTCTCTGATACTTTTGTTGTATTAAGGCAAACCTTTTATAAAAACCTAGGACTAGCGGTTTGGGTGATAATCCAACCCATATACAAGAACAAATTCGGTGAGTTAAACCATTGAAAGTGAAGAAATATTGCTTTAAATTGACTGATAATTAGGAATTCGGAGCCGACTGTGGTGTCCGAGGAGGAAGATGCTTCCAACCTCTTGCTGATCCAGTCGTTCCACATGCAGGGCGTTCCGATAAATGGCGATATGGATGATATAAGCTCAGTTTCACATACAAGAGACGATGTTCCATATGGTTCTACCACAGACAATAGCGAGGATGATGCTGTTCCAGACAACAGCGAGGATGATGCTGTTCCAGACATGCAGATGCACGAAAACACACGGACAAGCTCTGCACAAATATTAGACATATCCAATATTGAAGTTAATATGCAGTTAGTCTGTCTCCTCTTTAGTTTTTTTTATGAAATTTTCGTTTCTTACATTAACTTGTTTTGTACAGCTCCGATGAGGATGCACCACTCCCCGCTCCTACTGCCGATACTCTTACTACATCGGTGTGCTATGGGGATCTTTTGAATTCATTTAGTAGCAGCGACGACGCATCCAGCGACGTGTTATCTGATAATCCAACCCGTAGACCGCCTATTGTGCCGCAAGTGGAGGTAGATGCTTCCCATCTCACGTTGAACCCGTCGTTCCACAGCCAGGGCGATCCGATAAATGGCGACATGGCTGGCCCAAGCTTAAATCCATTCATAGGAGACGAGTTTCACGATGGTTCCACCACTGACAATTTCGAGGATGTGGGTGTTCCAGACAGCAGCGAGGATGTGGCTGTTCCAGACAAAGATTTATGTAGTAGCAGCGACGACTCATCCAGCGAAGGCTCAACAAGCGATGTGGCCGTTCCAGACAACAGCGAGGCTGTGGCTGCTGCTGTTCCAGGCATACAAATGCACGAAAACCGACAGACAAGCTCTTCACAAATTTCGAACACATCCAATTTTCAGCCACCTCGTCGTCGACGCACCGCACCGGCCTACTTCGATGATCCGGAATCAATTGGAGCGCGTGTGGCCAAGCGTAGTAGAGCCAGCACGGCCCCTATTGAATTAGCTAAACCCTTAGACGTAACAAACTACATTAAGGAGGTGTCTGCCCGATTATTGACCGAGCGTGTGAGCCAGCAGGCCTTTCTGCAGTTTTCCATAGCCTCTAATCGCGCAGTGCAAAAAGCCATAGCTAGCTCCAAAAGAGCCTTGGGGGAGGCCCCTAAGTAGTGCTTTCACATTGAGAAGATAATTATTGATATAATAATAAACAATAAAACATTGTGCGTACGACTCAATACTTCGACAAGCGCATGGACGTGTAAAGCTGACGGTGTAATTGTATAAATGTGTATCTGGTTTAACCACCCCTCACAATTTCTGCACATAACGTATGGCTTAAATAAAACAAACGAAACACGTGACAATGGCAACTCATTCGTGGCTCTCATATGAAAAGATTTCGCTGCTGGTGTTGCTATTGCGAGATCGATCGGACACGGCGACACTGCTGGTGCTGACCATTAGACCACTGGGCACCTCGCCAATGGACAGATCTGAGCTGCTTTCATATGCGCTGGAGGTTACCGAGCTCAGCTCATCCCCACTGACGCCAGAGTCCATAGATGCGATTGATGGCGGAGTGACATCTCCCTCGGCGGCTGCCGGGTGTTGCTGCTGCGTCTGATTGTTGATGGTTTCGGTACGGGCACGCTTCTCCTCCAAGCCGATTGTATTGCCGTTGCTGTCAGCCCTACGCTTGTGTGCAGACCGACGCTCGGCGGTAGGACTCCAGTCGAGGGCATGATGTACGGTTGCACAGACTGTCAGTTGAATGGGCCCACCAACAGAACTATTGCAATCTGGCAGTGAGTTATCCACATCCATATCCTCAGGCGAGGCACGAGCCGGCGACGGCAGCATGGTTGATTGGCGTTGATCCATGGGCTGCGAGGACAAGAACTCCAGCTCGCTCTCCTGCAAGAAAACACGTGCCAAATATGAGCACAAGCATATTTACATGTGCAATTCAACATACGTAGCGGGCACGTTCGAATTGCAGGTATTCTTCGTCTTCATTGACTTCCTGTGCCGACAGTTCCATGGCCTGCGCAAGCTCCTTAAGTTCATCATATGGCATTCCTTCCTCATAGACTCCAGCGTCTGCGGGGGGATAGATATATATTCGAATAGTGTGAACCACATTATATGCACCAACCTTGGAGCTTGGTTACTAAGCGGTGGTAGGCGCTGCTGCTGCGCAATTCCATTTTTCGCATTTTGTTTTTTTAACTTAAAATAAACACACAACAAACAAAAAGTGACGCTTCAGAAATTTGACATAACGGCAGTTTGTACTACCAGTGTGACCGCGGATTTGTCGATCAAATATACGGCACGACTCTCAATCAAATACTGAAATATACCTTAATATACCTACCTTAACATTGGAGTTTCATAGAGGGACGAAACTCATTGAATGTACCATTACATACCGATATACCGTAATTATACATTTCAATTTCGTACCTAAAATATCCCCCCATATAACATACCTTAAATGACTTTTGGTGCCATCGAATGTTCCAGCTGATCCCAAATGGCATACGGTCACACTTAGGGATGGTAAAACTATAGGCAGAGTCAGCACTAGTAGGCGGGACATTTGCATAGGTTTCCATATGGCTGAACTGATTGTGCGAGAAAGTCGAAAAGCTTAAAGCTCGAAAGCTTTTCCAATCGTAACCAACGGCTAATCAAAAATGCTGAAAGTTTATTCCTTAGACTCAATATAATTAATTATTTGAAACGTTTATTTTCATTTCATGCTGCAAAATTGTCAGCAAAAGTTCGGCTAAAATTTCACATTTAAAAGGTAAACGCTCTGCCAACGTTTTGTGGGGTCAAAAGTTAACAGCTTTGCCTGGGCGCATGGCGATGGCAATTGCATTTCTCTAATTTGAAGGAAAAATGCGTCTCTGTGCGTTTCGTTTGCATTGCAGCAGACGAGCCGGCACCTGGTCTGCCACGCACACCTGACCACACCCACTGCACCGTGGCGCCCGCCTCTGACCCTAACGACAACCAAGTTGAAATTCAACAAAATGTCAAAATGTCACTTGAAGTCAGTTTGCTTTCAGTGCTTTTCCTTTTCTATTCTGCGACCATTTTACTTTTGTGGTGGCAGTTTTTCTGCATGGATCCACTACTGTTTAGTTGTGATACCCTGTATTCAGAGTGGGCATTTTGGTATCTGTACATATGTACATAGGTATGTGTAATGGATGATTTTTCCTGATTTATTTGCCATTAGCTTTATTTTAAAAGTGTCCTCTCGACGATAATAAAAGTGCAGGATTTTCCAGGATATCTTAAGTCACGACTTTTCTATAAACTGTCGGTTTTTGTTCACTTTTGCTTTAATTTTTTCCAGACACATTTTTCTGTATGGCCAAACTCCCGCGCTCTGGCCAACGCAATGAAAATAAAACAAGCGCACGAAAAAGAAAGAAAAAGGGAAACAAGAAAAGTTTCGATGTCGTCACCGCAGCCAGGAAGGCTGCCGTTGCTTCTTTTGCATAAAAGTCTCCATGCAGTCCCTCTGCCAGAGAGCTCCACTAGAGCCCCATGCAGCCACAACCTCAGATTCAACCCCACGCCAAATAGATGGAAGCACAAAACAAAGAAAAAAGGGCCAACACCAAAGTCGTTTTGTCGTTTTGTCGTTTTGTGTTAACCCGCATTTTGTACAATTTTTGGGTGGCATTTAAAGTCCGTTCAATTACCGCTGAGGAGTTTGCACTTTGGTGGGGCGCTAGATTAAAGATAAGTTAAGAGTTCGAAACACTAAGGGAATGCAATTCCCTGCAATTCCCCCAACGATTGCTAGATAATTCCCTGTGGACTGCAATCCTTTCTTTATATTTTTACATTTGAAAACACAAGCGAAGGCGGCTAATGCTGATTTGATTAGGAAATCTGTGCCGCTCTCGATTTGCTTTTAGTGGCCAAGCTAAATGTTTTCATTGGGCGAAAAGAAAGGCTTTTTGCCATTTACTTTTGTTTGCCTGCCTTCGCCAGCCTTCCGGCACATTAGGCAGCCATCATTTGGCTAATTTTGCATCTTTTGGCCATATAATTTACACCAAATAACACACGACTGCACACACACACACACAGCATGGGCAACGCCCCATTGTAGTGGATGCTTGAATGCTGCTAAAATATTCGCGGAGTTATCCCATTTTCGACCAGGAGGCCCGCCGAGAAGATGCCTAATCAATGATTTGGAAATACCTTGCACAACATTCATTTTACGCTACACTACCTTCTGGCCCCCTTTTGCTTGGGGTTTTTGGTGGCCCTTTAAACGGTCTTAAGAACACAAAATGCCAAAATCTCCAGCGGGTAGAACCAGTTTAACACGCTTAATTGTAACCAAAAACAATATATATAATAATAGCCAGAACATAATCAAAACTTAAATCTCAAAGAACACAAAATTAAAGTTCTGTGTGGCATGGTATGCAGCCAGAGCCTTTGCAAGCTGCTCCATTTAGACCGCAGATCTGTCCCCTGTCCTGGTCTCCTTGACCGCTGACATCCTCTCCACTTTCGGAGGCATTATTCTCTACAAGGGCATCTTCTGGTTCTCCTGGATCTTCTGCACCGCTCACATTAGTTGGTCCGCTGATATCTTCTTCACTGCCAAAAGAATCTCCATCTCCAGTATTGTTCCTGTGACTGCAGCCAGCTTGTTCGCATATCTCACCCTCTCCGCAGAATCCTTTGCCGCAGCTAACTTCCTTCCCGGCATCATCCACCTGTGTATTCCCTTCCGATTCAGGATCAGGTACATATCCATAGACCTCCAACCTGTGCAAGAAAGTTAAATGTAAAATGCTTGTGGGTCGTGCTCTCGCCCACTCTTAAGTAGTTACCGATAAATGCAAGTACAATCGGAGCCATGATTTGAGTAGAAATCGAAAACCAAAAGTTGAAAAACGCTGCGGCTGTCCACGTTGTAGATCTCAGTGCGTCTGAGGGCATCATTATTGTAGGTAAATTGTCCCAATAGTTCTCGCTTGGAGGAACCCTTTTTCATGCCCTAGCAGATTGAGGTCTTAAGAAATGATCTAAAAGCCGAACAGCAGACTACAACTCACGAAAACCTCAAAATCTTTGGGTGCACTCGCACTGTTGCTGGGAATAATATCCTTGGACGTGTGGCTCAGGGTAATCGTCTCGACGATGATGGCATTGGCCAGATGGATGGTCACTGTTGACTGATTTCCGCGGTATCCAAAACAGGCGCCGGGTGCCAGACTCGACTGAAGCATATTCACAGGCGGATTGGAGCTAAAGTCCAGTGCTAGAAGCCGCTTCAATAAGGAGCTCCTTTCAATGGGTAGGGCTCTGACCGAGACCACTCTGGCCCCCAACTTATCTGAGGCGAAGTTTAAACGGTTACAGTAAGTTTGGTCATTTTGCAATGAACTTGAGCTGTGAATTGTGCCTGGATGTTGGTTGGATCTTGGATCTTGGCCTGAATTTGGATATTGGTTTGAATATTGACTATTAATTCCACTTAAATCTTGGTAAGAGTTGGGATCTTGATGGGAATATTGACTATTAATTCCATTTGGATGTTGGTAAGAGTTTGGCCCATAGTTTGAGTTTGAATCCTGGTTCAACCTTGGACTTTGAATTGTACTGGGATATTGTTCTGAGTTTGAGCCTTGGACTCCATTTGTAGTTGGCATTCCATTTGGATTTTGCATCAAGTTTGCATTTGGTGCAAAGTTTCTATAATCAATTCCATTTTGTTGCATTGAATTCATTTGATTGCATTCCTGCTTTAGTGTTTTCACATCTTCTATGAGGCCGTCAACCTTTCGTAACACATCGGAATCGCATTTGGTTAGCGCAGGGCCGATTGATTTCTGATCGGACTGTGGAGCGGGACCAGAAACCGTGTTAATTCCTGGAGGACCAGTGCCCGTGGTGCCGTGTATCATTTTCTGCAAACAATGGGTTTAGTTAGAGATTCAATTACTCGATTATTCAGTTATTACCGATAGCTCTTTCACTTCCTGCCGGAGGTCAGACAATCCTGAGTTCTTCATCGTGTTCTTCGACATTAGATAGTATAAAAATGCCGCGACCAGAAGAAAAGAAAGAAATTGCAGAATGCAAGACAACCTGGTGCTGGGCTGTTCAGGTCTGTCCATATTTGCTTATTTTTTAACTGAATTTTGCTCGAAAGTAGAACTTCGACTATAAACAGACTCTCGTTTTATGGTTACAAGATTTTCGCAGATATGACTGAGGCTACTACGTTTTGGTTTTAGTGAAACTTTTCGCCATCAACCTAAAATTATTTTGGTTGCAATTCACACAGGCCTTGGACGATACTTGTCGCCATGAAAAACTCCCCCTGAATATTTGCATTTGCATCTTCACAACATACGCTGCACAAATAAAATATGCAAGCAACAAATTTGAAGCCAGACACAGTCAATAGACCAAATTTATTGCCAATTTTTGGGATTTGCCGACTTGCCTGTTGGCTGCCTTCTGCCTGGCTTCCACCTCCCCAGCTCGCCAGCTCGCCAGCTCCTGCTTCTGCAAGGAGTTTGATTGTGCAAAATTGCAAATCAAACATGACTAAGGGACACATTCTCTCCCATCGATAGAGAGAGAGAGAAAAAAAAGGGAGAGAGCAGAAGCAAGAAGCGGCAATAAAACGGTTGGAAATTTTCACTGATGGAAATGGCATGGAATGTGTGTTGCCTCCAGGTCGATAAAGAAATGCAACTGGATGTTGTACACTTTTTTTGCTGTTGCATAATTTTTGCACAGCTGTTGCTTGCAGCATTCAGATACGGCCAAGATAAAGCGTGGGCCTGCCTGGCTGTGCCCCCTGACGGATGGCCCCAAGTGTGGAATTGCATGGTTGCAACCAAAGATTTGTGTGCCATTTGTTTGTACTCTGGAGAAATATGTGTTCGTTGATTCTTTTTGGGAAGTAACTAGCACGAGTTGAGCAAGGATTAAGGCTAAGGAGAAACTGTGTCTAGCTACACCTTTAACGGATATTTTCACATATTTTGAACACTTAAATGGTGTGGGATTTGGTTGGAATTTGTTTATTGAACACCAGCTAAGCAGCTTATGAAATGTAATGCATTCGCATGCAACGACCATTGCCATAAACATCTACGAGTAGATACATTTGTGCATGTTCTTTAGATACTTGTACGCCCCGAGCGCTTTTAGTTATTTATTTTTGCAGACTCCATTTGCCGGCCACGTTGCTTACATTTGTGCAGTGCAGAGTTCAAAGAACTTGTCTTGCAATGAGCTTTAAATGTGGACTTGTTCACGTACTGGCCATTATAGTCAGTTGTCTACTAATTTAGCATACACCCACACACAGCAGCAGCTACTGTGTACATATATGGCTTGGCTTGGCTTGGCTTCTCACAAATTTCGCGCTGTGTCTGCGGAAATAAATGAGCGTGTTTTAGTTGCATTTCCTCTACATCTTTTGAAAGCAAAATAAAAACAAAACAAAATAAAATATATGCAAATAAACATAAATAACGTGAAAAGAAGGAAACCGCAAGCAGACATAACTAACAGTGAAAAGTGAGTGTGGAATAAAAATGAAATGAAATGCCAGCGCAGAAGGGAGAAGGGAGAAGGGAGAAGGGAAGGGAGAGCGAGCAACTGATGTACGGCTGTGCGGGTTCTTGTTGTGTTTCTCCCCCCACATACAGAGATGTACATACATATGTGTGAATAAATATGTTTCTGCGCTCATTGTTGCACATTTTGTTTTCTTTCCGCCTCTGGTGGGAGTTTAGTTTGATTAGCCGCAAAATGAAGGAAGTGCACATAGTTTTGGTGGAGCATAAAAATACTTGTACATAGTCAGTGGACCATTGTTTAGCTGTAGAAGGTTTTCAAGTTCTAAATTGTAGTTATTTTTACAAAAATATTTTTCCTACAAAATTACATCAATTATGAGACGTTTTTCCTGGAATACTTTATCCCAACTCCAAGCATAAATCTTTATGAAAGTGATGGCACACTCAGATCACATGCAGCCATTTGTTTATTTTATTTTATTTCAGTTGATTTTATTGCATTTGCATGTGCATCAAGTCGACAACGTTCCCCCTTCGCATGCGCCTGTTGCCGCTTCATATTCATGCATCTTCCGTGGTACGTATCCATCTTCCCTTCGACCTCTACATTCCCGCTCCATACGAGCAGTATCCGCGGTTCTGCCAGAATTTCGCTTCCTCCTGCGCTCTTCTTGTCAATGCTGGTGCCCGTGTGGCCCTGCTCATTTTCCCTTGGCGTGTGTTTTGCATTTTCTGCGGTTGCAATTGCTGTGTGTGCAAGTGTGTGGGTATGTGCGTGGTGGCTCTTGTGCCTGTGTTAGTTTGCACACATTAACACTTTATTGTTGCTGTTTGCTGCGCATGTACTCTAAAAACTTAACGAAGCAAAATATTTGTTGCTTGTTGCATTTTCATTTTTGCATTTTATGCCAATCTCCCTCTTTTCTCCCTCTCTCCCTCCTTCTGGTTTCGCTTTGCTACATTTTGTTTTTGTTTTTGTTTTTGTTCTCTTCTTTTGGTTTCTGGCATTGCATATGTAATTGTGATTTTTGTTGCAACAAAAGCAACAGCAATGCTTGTTTAACAGCTAATATTTGTACGATGCCTGAGGGACAAACAGAGACGGAAGTTGGTACAGGATTAGGATGAAGGCTTCCTCCATGGCTACAGCTGTGGCCATCCCAGCTTCTGCCTTCGACTTCAGATGCAGATCCAGCTGCAGAATTTCGGGAGTGGTAAGGGAAGATGGTTTGTGGGGTATGGTAATTTTTTTTGTTGCTTCCCAACCAAACAGCGTCGACATTGACAACTTTGTTGTCTTGTTGCATGTAATTTCTTTCTGCTGTTGCCGCTTGTTTGGCTTGCGGTTCGTGTGTGGTTCCACTTCCCAATCTCCATTTTGTTTTCGTTTACGTGCCTGCCACTTTCCAGTCCCTGTCTTGCTGCACTTTGATTGTTCTGTCGCTTTGCTTTTGCAGTCGCCGCCGCCTTCGTTTCCGTTGCCAGACAAAAGTGTCAAGCGCAAATGCAAGTCAAGGAGCTGCCACTGCCGCTGCCGCTGCCTCCTGCCAGGTGGGATCAGACTTTGATGTCCAGCTGCGGCTCTTCCGACCTGTAGTTGAAGCTTTGTGTTGTGTTCCTCCTGCCAGTTCCGGTCCATGGGAGTTTTGTTTCAAAAAGAGATACAGAGTCAAGCTGAGATTCAGTTCCAGGCAGTGAAAAGTTAAGTTTAAAATAGCAAAAAACTATGTTAAATATTATTACTGTTTAGTCAATGGATTATTTTGTTCAAAAATATCCAAAAACACAGAGAAAACTCTAAGAAGCAGTACGCATTATTTGATTAATTTATTACTTAATTTATTGATTATGCAATCTTTACTTAAAACTACTAATACAGAGAAAATTTTGGTCTACATAAATTCTTTTCATTTTTTTAGGGCATATATTTGTAGAAATAAATGCAGTCAAATGTTCAAACTGCCACGGAGAAGAGCTGAAAATTGTTGCAGTTCGCTGCGGGGCTTTACAGGTGCACTCTCATCGCTGACCCGCACAGCTGTATAATCATAATCAATAATAAATTTGCATAAATATGAAATGCCATTTGGCTCTCAATCCAATGCATTCGCCTGTGTGTGAGTGCTGGTCAAGTTTCTGCTTTAATATGCTTTTTATACATGGCCTAAAGTAGTAAAATAAACTCAATGCATTATCGTTTAAAGCGTTTTCAACATTTTTTGCTTTTAATCTGATTTTTTTTTGGCCACCGTGCTCGTCGTCTCCGGTGATGCCGCTAGTCGCATTTGAAGGCGCAATTAGTTCGCGCATGTAAAAAACCTTAAAACGTTTACACTATAAAATAGACCAATTTTTTTTTAGTGGGAGGGATAATATAATATTTTTTTTTACTGCTCCTTCATCCAGGTGTAAAATGTGTCCGAGCTGCGGGTGGTCCTTGTTGTCGTTGCCATTCTCATTCCCAGCGAGCGGCGTTTGCTTAATGTCTTCTTTATTATACGAAATTTATCACCGAAACTGAAATTGGCCCGACTCTGGCTGGCGTGTCGTCGTTTAAGCCAAAGCTGCAGCAGAAGCCAGAGCTAGGGAAGAGTAAGGGAAAAGCTTGCACTGTGTTTATACCTGGTACTTGCACAGTGGCAGGGTATATTACGTTCGTATATAGCAGGCAGCAGCAGTAAGTGTTACCTAATACATTAGGTTTATATACTAAATATTACCCTCAACATATGAGTCCATATGGTTATAGGGTTATGTTTGTATGACTATGAATACCCATCTATCGGATATATCATGGAAAATGTAGCGTCGTCAAGAGTTATATATATTCCAAGCTGCTTTGGCAATGGCAATAATATCTTAAAATAAATTTAGAAAATTAAAATGTCGTAAACAAATATTTAAACTTAATTCTCTTTGTTCTCTGGCAAAGGTTCCTCTTATTAACTCTCACTTATAAATCTGAATAATAGGTATCCCTTCGTCGAAATATCCACTTTAGCCATTTTACTCGTTTTTTTGTGTGTTTTTTTTTCTGGGCTGCTGCAGTCAGGGCGCAACATGAAGTAACTCACACATGCACACGGACGCAGAGACACACGAACGGGAGTGTAGTAAAAACATGGCTTATATCCTTTATGGCCACAAAGGCAAACACACACACACACACACACACACACTGAATGCATTTTTACACCCACAAGATTAGCAGCACACCCAGACAGACACAAGAAATTAATGTGTGGGTTTTGTGCTAATGAACGGCACATGTACATATGTATGTGTATGCGTGTGTGTGTGCTGCCGCTGTTTTTGAATTATTGCATAATTTTTACCACTAAAGTGGGTGGCAACCAAGTCTTTTTTTTGAACTGCTAGCTTGTAAATTGTTCAAGGAAATTTATCCTACATATATTATGCAGTACGCGTGTGAGGAGGAGGCAAATGAAGGAAAAGCAAATATGCAAATACTTGTGCATACATTTGTATTTTTTCTCAACGTTTGCTGCACAAAAAAAAATGCGAGAGAATTGTGCAACGTTGAGAGCAAAACTCTTGGAAATTAAATGCCTTAAGTTGGGGTTAAAAGGTAGCTTTGATTGAATTTGAAGAATATTTTAGAGCAA